GGAGTTAGTCTACGTAACTCAACCGGAAGGTTTTGTGAAGAAAGGTGAGGAAGATCGAGTGTATCGACTTTACAAGGCTCTATACGGCTTACGACAAGCTCCTAGAGCATGGAATGTAAAACGCGACCAAGTCTTAAGAGAGATGGGCTTCAACAAGTGTATCAAGGAACCGATGGTATATCGGAAGAACGACAAGAAGGACGTCTTGATTGTGGCTATCTACGTGGATGATTTGTTTGTGACGGGAACCACACTTAAGGTCATCAACAAATTCAAAGAAGATATGTCAAAGAAATTCGAGATGTCGGACCTAGGGAAGTTAACGTATTATCTTGGCATAGAAGTGATTCAAGGAGTGGATGGGATAAAGATAAAGCAAGAAAGATACGCTCAAGGAATTCTTATTAATGCTAAGATGGAATCGTGTAACTTGACTCATACACCAATGCATCCAAGTCAAAAGATCAACAAGTTGGAAGAAGAACCAGAGATTGATGCAACCGAGTATAGACGAACCATTGGTTGTCTTAGGTACCTCCTACACACAAGACCGGATCTCTCCTTTGCTGTTGGAGTTCTAAGCCGGTATATGCAAAGTCCAAGAAATTCTCATGGGATTGCGGTCAAGCATATATTAAGGTATGTAAGAGGAACAACAAACTTTGGTTTGTTTTTCAAGAGAGACGGGTCAAGGAGAATCACCGGATATAGTGATAGTAGTCACAATGTTGATATTGACGACGGAAGAAGCACCTCGGGACACGTTTTCTACTTTGGTTCATCACCGATTACTTGGACATCGCAAAAGCAACCTAAGGTCGCATTGTCCTCATGCGAAGCGGAATTCATGGCAGCTACGGAAGCCGCGAAACAAGCTATATGGCTTAAAGAATTGTTGAGTGAGATACTAAGCGTTGAAGGCGAGAAGGTCTTACTAAGGATTGACAATAAATCGGCTATAGCTTTGACCAAGAATCCGGTGTTTCATGGGAGAAGTAAGCACATACTTTCGAAGTATCATTTTATTCGGGAATGTGTGGAAGACGGACAAATCGAAGTTGAGCATGTACCCGGAGAGGTCCAAAAGGCGGACATTCTTACCAAGCCATTGGGAAGATTCAAGTTCAAGGAAATGCGGGACCTAATCGGTGTTGAAGAGATCAAGACTCCCAAAATTCAAGTTGGAATTAAGGGGGAGAATGTTGGATAATTCAAGACTTAAAGAAGAAGTTATCTCTTAGAAGAAGAAGCTTCTAGAGATAAGTAAGGATATTCACAAATATGTTTTAGATAATGATAAAGTATCTAGATAGAGTTTGTGTTTTACCTAATCCTAATAGACTTGGGAGATGTCCAAGTTCTATATAATACAAGGGTCCATGGAAGGATGTTTCATGAGACTTAGAGAGAAGAGATTTAGTTTTGTGAGAGTTTCTAAATCTAATAAAGAAGTGTTGTTCTTTATATTCTAAGTTCTAGCAATCATAACTTTGACAAACTACGCCGGCACGGCCAGTGCGTTGCTGCAAGCCCCACCTTGCAAGAGGGATGTTGATTGCAGCTTTGAATGTCCAAAGGGAGGATTCTGTAATGATCGCCTTGGCACATGTGATTGTTTCTAGCTAGTTTTGTATTAATCGCATTCTATTCTACTTTTATCAATAAAATTAACCAAATTATAAAGCTTAATACTTAATACTCTCATTCGCATTGCAATGTATATAATTATAAAGCTTAATCCAAATTCACTCTGAAAAAGAGTATTTCATTAGTATTCAAAGTCTACACTTGACCCATCGATTGTTTCTTTGCCAATGGTAATCTTAACTTCTAAACACTGTTTCTTTTACTTCACCACTATCATCAGTATCTAGAACAACAACTGATTCAGGTATGGATTCCTCTTCCAAGCCCGAATTCGAACGGCTTTTTAAATAACTAAATGCATAAACCTAAATATGAACTATGGAATACTGAATACTGATAAAGTATTTATCTATCACATTTTATCAAAAAGAAAAAGATAAATTATCTATCTAGAGGAAAAACAAAAGAATCATATATCAAACTAAAAACTAACATGTCACTAAAACTTTTATACACAAAAACAATGATACATAGGAGAAGGAAACTGTAATATCATACCGATAATACTATCTTTAAAAACGCAATAGTTAAGGTAACCAACAAATCAAGCCGGATTAAAACTTTGAAGAAGTGATATAAAACAAAAATCAGATTATGAGAATCTATAATCAAAGGATTAAAAGAGTAGCAGTACAATATTTTTTACAATAATTTTCTTTCTTATTTTTACATAACACTATTCCACTGAATATTCCACAATTTTAGCCAAGTAAATGTTTTACCATTTTGAGTTTTTGTCAGTTTTTCGAGTTTCGTTGAACCTACAATCTTTTACAAAGATATTTGAAATTCCACATGAAAATATTTGATTACTACTAAATTTAAAATATAGCACCATATACTTTGTTCAAAAATTTATGGTTTGCTTTTCTGGTCAAAATACAAATGACCAATTACAGAAATATCTTTTAAATTTTAACGATTAAGATTTGACTAATAATTCTTGATTGACCCTTAATACATATTTAGTAAAATAATACATTTGCAATCTTGACCAGAAACTGGCAACAGACAGAACTTGATTTGCCACATCTCTATACTATTAAAAGAGAAGTACAAATGAAAATGGGTCGGGTTAAAATCAGAAAATTGACCCAAAATTCTGAAATCGGATCTTTGAAATTTTTTTAGAATATAAATTCGAATTAATAATGAAAAATCGAAATAGAATCAAATATTTATGGAAATCAAATAAAATCTGATTGTACTTATGGTAACTAATAATAAAAGCATATTCCAAACAATATTATACATTAATTACGTATAATAAATTTGTTCATATATTTTTGGGACTAATTCCATAACAATCAACGTTTTTGTCATTAATTTCGCTCATTTTAGCCAATTATAATTAATTGAAAGATATTTTATTTGCTTCTAAAGATTTCTAGAAAATTTATCACAAATAACCCATCTGTTTTATAAATTAAATTGATATTTTTATTTTGATCGTGTAAATTAAATATATATTTTTATTTTGGTCATGTAAATTAAATAGATATGAAATCCATGTAACTAATTTTAATTTAATTAGATTAAATCGAAATTATGATATTTTCATACCTATAGCTTACCAAAGAAGTTTAATTTTCAATTTATAAAGATTTCTTGAATATGATTTTAGAATTATTCAACAAGATGATAAGTATTTATTAAATTTTGTGAATCATGAAAAATAATAATTAATTTTTAATCATTATACTTCATCTTTCAATCTCTCATCTAACAAATAAGATACATATTCTATTATTACTATGTCCAAACTTCATTTTGTTGTATGACTAAATAATATTCCCATTAGAACTGTCAAAGCGAGTTGATTCGTCCTGTTAAGTCTGTTTTGCGATAGACAAAAAATATTTTGACTTGTAGTTAGTCGGTCCGCACGACCCGCGGGTAGCATATATGAAATACAAACCCGTCCCGCGAATGTATGCGGATTTGCGGGATTGTCCATGGATTTTGTTTAAATAATTTTAAAGTAACCAAAATTTAAAATACTACTAAAATAAATCAAAATACTATTAAAAGTTTGTTTAAATTACCACATTTTGAATAAATTATAATTTTATCAATAAATACTAATATGCGGGCTGATCCGTCAACCCGCGGACGATGAAAACCGATTAAACCTATGACCCACTGCGAATTAATCCATGTGGCCCGCTTATTTGCGGGTTTAATATATTTTCCCAAATCTGCTCCATAGTGAGATGATGCGGGCTCGACCCGCGGTTTTTGACCTATTTTGACTGCTCTAATTCCCATAAATCGTCTAATTTTAGAATTTTAAAACACAAAATTCTATTTTGTAAATCATAATTAATACCATGAGTATATTTATAAACAATTTTACATTTTCTCTACAATTCGTTATTATGAATATTTATAAGTATACTACACGATTCGTTCTACTAAAAAACACACACAATATTAAACGCAACGTATGTAAACCAATATTCTCCCGCGGTTGACCGCGGGTCCGATCCTAGTTATAAATGTATGGCTAAAGACTGCGAATACATAGCAAACTTTCACGAGACTAAACTTTGGAAAATCAAAAGCTCCCACTCTGAAAATTTGAAAATGAAGAACGCTTCTCTCAAGCTCCCACTCTTGATTTTTATTTTGGTCATCACATCTAGTAAGTTTTTTGTTTTTTTTTCGTTTGCCAACAATTGTAAGAATAATACCAAAAAAAAAGGTGTAGGAAGTTGTTTTTGTTACAAGCAGTGTTCTAAAAAGCGGTCTAGGCGGTCGCCTAGGCACCGACTAGGCGCTAGGCTCTCATGCGACGCCTAGATAACCGTCTTGACCGCCTAAAGTTACATAGATCTTGTTTAATATATTTTTTTCAATTTTAATTAGAGTTTTATTTATATATATAGTTATACATATTTATATATTGTTTAATATAAATATAAATAAATGTTTTATCTAGTTTTGTTTATAATTTCATAATTTTTAGTTTTATATAGACATTTTATATAACTTTTATATATAATATCATATTTATAATATTTTATGTTATAAACGTCTAAACCGCCTAAAAAATCGCCTAGGCCCCGATTAGACGTTCTAGGCGCTAGGCACTGGGTCACCGCCCGCTTAGCGCCTAGCGCTTTCTTGAACACTGGTTACAAGTGACAGAAACAAAAAGTAGCATCATAAATCATGTTTTTATAAACTTTTCCATTATATTATTAAAAGAACTAATACATAAAAATATAAGAAAATCATACTAACTGAATATCTATGATTGTCGTGAAAACATATTCATTCCGGAATTTTTAAGTAATAATTATATTATTTTTTTGCAATTTGATAAGTTTTAAGAGCGTAGTGATAATGCATTTCTAGGTTTTGATTCATTTTTGGTGGAAAATAACATTTATCAAGTAACAAAATTTTGGTTGGATCTTGATTTTTATTTATAGATCAATCCCTTGTTTTTCTTTTGAAATTTTATTAGTGGATGAAAATTCTAACCTTTAAAGCCATTTTGTTTATGCAAATGATGGATGAGAAGATCTTGGAGCAGAAGCAAGAAAGCTGACCGGAGTTGATGATATATTAATCGAAGGTGCCGCCGCAAGTCCACAGTACGTAGACACCGATGACGCATTGAACAAAGTCCCATCTTGCAAGAGGGACATCGACTGTAGTTTTCAGTGTCCCAAGGGAGGATTCTGCAACCAACGCCTAGGCAGATGTGAATGTTTGTAATAATAATCGTATTATAATCAACTTTTATCAATAAAAATTTACCAATTGTATTCACAGATAAAATCTTTTTAAAAAAATATAAAATCATTTTTACCAATTGTGTTCACAGATAAAATCTTTTAAAAATAGAAAATCATTTTTTTTCTTTTTCAAATTGATTTAGTCTTTGGATATATATACAATATAAACCGTTTACTATTCTATAGTTAACCCTAGTCAGATTTGATTTAACCTAGAAGCTTCTAGGTCTCCTACACGTTTACTTTATTATAGACGGTCGACTTCTTCCATCTTTATCCATTGAAACTAGTTAACTGGCTGGTCGGATTGTGATGGAGCTCTTCGCCGACACGACACCAAGGACGGCCGAGAACTTCCGAGCCCTCTGTACCGGCGAGAAAGGCATCGGGAAGAGTGGTAAGCCACTGTACTACAAGGGATCACGCATTCACTTTGTGTCCCGCAAATTGATGTTATGTGGAGGAGACATCATTGTCGGGGACGGATCCGGAGGCGAATCGATCTATGGCGAATTATTCGATGTGGAGGAGACATCATTGTCGGGGACGGTCCGGGTGTCCTCTCTATGGCCAATGGTGGTCCAGACACCAACGATTCTAGGTTCATGATCTGTATGCAGAAGTGTTTTCCACTCGACGACGTGCACGTCGTGTTCGGCCAAGTTGTTGAAGGAATAGATGTGGTAGAGAGCATTATGGAAGATGTAGTAACTTATAACGGGAAGCCTTCCAAGACCGTGGTGATCGCCGACTGTGGTCAAATTTCATAGATTTGAGAGTTTTTTTATCCTATCACTACAATGGTAGCATGCTTGGTGTGTTTTTGTTCGTTGTTTGGATTTGAGTTTGCTAAAAAAAATAAAAAAACACACCTCCAAATCTTGACCAGTACCGGCAACGGACTGAACTTGATTTGCCAGTTGCCACATTATAAATGTATGGCTAAAGAGACTACGAATACATATCAAACTTTCACGACACTAAAATTTTTTATAAATCAAAAATCCAAAGCAAAGTTGAAAATGAAGAAAGCTTCTCTCAAGCTCCCACTCTTGATTTTCATTTTCGTCATCACATCTATTAAGTTTCTTTTCTTTAATTTGTCAACAGTTGTAGGAATTTGCTTTTATATAATAACTAGTATTCTTACCCCATACTACGTACGGGAAAATTAATTTATGAAGTTAAAGTAAAAAGATATGAATTATAGCAAAAGTGATAACTGGAAGTCATGCTAAATTTTTAGATAAATCCCTTGTATTTCCTTTGAACTTTTATTAGTGGATGAAATTTCTAATCTTTAAAGCCATTTTGTTTATGCAAATGTTGGATGAGAAGATCTTGGAGCAGAAGCAAGAAAGCTGACCGAGTTGATGATATATTAATTAATTGAAGGTGCCGCCGCAAGTCCACAGTACATAGCCACTGATGACACATTGAACAAAGCCCCATCTTGCAAGAGGGACATCGACTGTAGTTTTCAGTGTCCCAAGGGAGGATTCTGCAACCTACGCCTTGGCAAATGTGAATGTTTGTAATAATAATCGCATTATAATCAACTTTTTATCAATAAAAATTATCTATCAATTCTTCCAAACGTTATACTCTCTTATGTATTACAAGATTGATAATCATAATCGAAAACCAATTTAAAACTCTAAGCCACTAGCTTTGATTGTTGAACATTCTATAACCACTAAAGGAGGGAATCTTGAGGCCTGTTCTTCTTTGCCAGTGATAATCTTGACCTCAAAGAGACGGTTTCTTCTTCTTCTACTCCATAGTCATCATTGTCAAAATACAATACCATCAATCACCAACTTGTCGCATCTTTTTTTTTATTTACGGTTCCATATCAGTTTGCAGAAGTACCTTATTTTTGCGTACTTCATTGAAATGTGACTCTCCAAGTTGTCTCAGTGGCTAAAACTCTAATGATCAAGTTAAAACTTTTTTGTATTACTTACAGATTTTGGCAAAAAAAACTTTCACTTACTCATTGGCCAAATATATCTCCAACTTTGCATTGACTTAGCCGAATTAGTTCCAACACTAACTAAACTTGAAAGGTTTAGTTCGGCCAAAATAGAAAAATTATTAGGGGCAAACGAATAAGTTTGAGATTTTTAAAATAACTAAATATTGTAATAAACCATATGGATGGACTCCATAACCGGCTCATGACCCATTAGGGTTTTACCTTATTCTGTGTATCCTGCTATTATCCTTGTATATATATCTCTTATTCTATTAATGAAATACACAGTTCACAACACGTTATCAGCACGATAGCCTCTCACCCTAAAAGCTAAAAATCCTGAAACCCTAAATCTCTCTCACAAAAACCAAAACCCTAAACATCTGAGAAAATCGGGATCTCCACTGAAATCTCTAACTAGTTATGTCTCCGTCCACGTGGCGTCTCCGATCTTCTATCTCAACAAAATCTAGATAAGTATTCATAATTTTATTCTCGGCAGTCACAGTTTTTATCATAACGTGGGGTGAATAATTCATATATGCTCACGCTTTAATATACCACTTCCGATGATGTTATTATGTTAACTATTGTTTATTTAATTACATATGATTATTCCTTTTCAATAAACGTTTGGTTCCAGATCTTTATTTTCTCTATACGACTATACATGTTAATAATTCTATGATTTGTTTCACCCCATGATCGATTCATGCTCAACTGTTTTATGGAATCATGCTTTAAATAATTGATATCTGTTGATTTAATTATTACGAAGACGAGATCTTGTTTGTTAGGAAATATAATCGTTCATGTCTTTAGTTATTCCATATGTTGATTTCAATTATGGCTTCCCGTGGAAGACATATGTTTGTTATTTTATTATTTGGCTAAGTTGATGATTAATGTAATAGCCATGTTTCCATGAGCAAAATTCTAAGTTTCTCAGGAATCATGATTATATATATTGAGATTTTGTAGGAGGTTCCAACCAGCTAAGAGACATAACTGTTTCCAATCTCCGTATCAGATCTCGGGTCTCTGTTTCAGTTCTCCAATTAAGATAAGTGCTATTTATTTATTATGCTTTATATACATGATCCAATTAAAGTTTGATAAGATAAAATTTGCATGAAAATTGGCACATGTGATTTGATTTATGATTGGAGAATTAATTGAGAAGTTAGTGAATGGAAAGATGTTTAATGGCATGATAGATTGAATGTTTTAATATAAACCCTAGGTTAAACCGAAAGTAAACCGAAACCCTAAATCCTAGGTTAAACCGGTTTAATAAACCCTAAGTCACGGTTTAAGATCAAGCTTCCCATAAATGGAAAGTTTCCAGAAATAAAAAGTTTCGTAAAATAGCAAGTTTCCCAAAATAAAAGGTTCCCTAAAATAGCAAGTTTCCCAAAATGGAAAGTTACCAAAATAGGAAACCCCTCCATAAGGAAATATTCCAAAACACTAAAGTACATAATTGTTTAGGATTTCTTTCTAGACGAGAAATAGAAATTTTCCATAAAAGGAAAGTTCCATATAAGGAAAGTTTCCATAAATAGAAAGTTCCATACATAAAACCGAAATCCTAGCAAAAACCCTAGTACTATAAATCGCGGATGCTAAAACCCTAAAACTTAACCGCGAAATCCTAATATCCTAATCTAGTATGATCCGATTGTTTGGTTGTTGCATACTAGATCAATCTTCTAGGGTTGATTTCATCCATATATATATATATATATAACATGATTGTTTAGAAAACACTTGCTGAAGACAAGCATGGCTCGGTCTTAAATACCGCATGACTTGGTCTAACCGATTACATGAGTTCTCATTTAACTCTATATATTATAGATATCAGAAATCAACTATTATGAATACACGGCACTCAATGCCTCTGGTGACAATTATTTAAAATGGGCTTTGGACACTGAGATTGTCCTAAAGGAAAAAGGGCTTGGTGAATCTATTATGGAAGGAAACAATGTCACCAGAAGAGAAAGATATAAGGCGATTACTAACATACGCCATCACCTCAATGAGAGTCTCAAAATCAGTACCTCACTATTAACAATCCTCTGGACCTCAGGACAGAGTTGAAAAAAAAAAAATCAATATAACCACCAAAGAACGGTGCTATTAACCAAAAGCCCGATTCGATCGGGAGAATCTCAGATTCCAGGAATTCAAATCCATGAATGAGTATAACTCAGCACTATTTAAAATAGTGTCAATACTGAGATTCCGTGGTGAGGAAGTTACTGAGAATGACTTGCTAGAGAAAGCATTCTCGACCTTTCACACAAACAATATATTGCCTCAGCAACAATATCGTGAAAAAAGTTTTTACCACATATGCAAGTCTAAACTCTTGTTTTTGGGGAGGACTCCTCTGTAGAGAGTGCTAAGGAGTGAGGCTTTGGAGAAACCGTGATGAGAACATTGATTCTGATATGCTACTTGCTGAGCAAAACAATGAGTTATAAATAGTGAAATGAGACCTCCTGGTCCTACCCCATTATCAGAAGCCCGTTGGGCTGAAGAGCCTAAAGAAACTAAAGAGTCTAACCACGTCCAAAGAGATAAGTATCATGGCCACAGTCATGGTAAATGGAATGAACGTGGTAGAAGTGGAAATTATAATTTATATGATCAAGGAAACTATTCATATGGTTAAGGCCACCGACCCGACTTTGGTCGTAATCGAGGTAGGCCACGGTATACCCAAACCACAACACTCAAATAAACTTGTTTGCCACTGATGAGGAATGGGGAAACCATTGGACTAAGACGTGCAGGACACCTAAGCATCTCGTTGATCTCTATCAAGAGAGTTTGAAAAGAATCAAGAAGCTCATTTAGTTCATCACGATGGTGAAGAAGATTTCGACCATGAGATAGATGATTATGAGAATTCAATAAACAAATACATGGTTCATTAGCCAAATTGCGGGTATAGCTAAATTTAGTGAAGGCTAACGGTAGGCCCATGGCAGGCCCATATTCCCAAGGGCACGCATCCTCAGATGCTTCATATTCACCCAGCTCAAAGGAGCTTGTTGAGTTTCAAAGAAATGTGTTTGAATAGTTTCCACATTGAAACTAAGGGTGAAGGGAACAAAGGATTCCCATATATTACTAAGAGCACCCAAGACCATAAGAAGGTCTTAGAGACTATACCCGCGTCATAGACCTTTACTATGCCAAGGTCAATATGATAGAGACTAATACAGTAAACAAAAGGGTTTACTGAGAAATTCACTAATGGCATGACCGGCTTGGCCAGCCTGGTTCTAACATGATGCGTAAAGCTGATATTAAAATCAAAAAGGCACACTCCTTAAGGACCTCACGTGTGTAGCATGTACACAAGGGAAACCCATACTAAGGTCATCACTAGTCAAAGCAACTAGAAACTTGGTGTTTGCTAGATTGCTGGCCCAGACCATAAGTCTGTGAGCCCACATACTTAAGACTATATGTCTAGATAATGCTGGTAAATTATGTCCCAAGTGTTTTATGGCTACAGTATGTCCATGAGGGGGAGAGTAGTATACCCCGTGGCACATGTCCATACTTGAACTCACAGTAGCTGCTTGGGGACACACAATATTACATGTAACAAGAGCTTATACGCATCAGGCCATTCTAGTGAGCATAGATATTCCCCATCCCAATTGCTAACGGGTCATGAGCCAGACGTTTCCCATCTTAAGACATTTGGGTGTTCAGTCTATGTACCCATTGCACCACCACAGAGAGCAAATGATGGGACCTCAAAAGGGGATGGGAATATACGTTAACAATGATTCTCCCACCATCATTAAGTATCTCGAGCCAAAGGCCAGATTCAAGGATTGTCATCTCAATGAATCCGTTTTCCCAACACTGGGTGGAGAGACTAACAAGCTGGTCAAAGAACTTACATGGAATCAAACATCCTTCACATGGCAAGATCCTCGGACTCCATCAGAGATCCAAAAGACTATATATCTGCAAAAGCTAGCTAAAACAGTTGCCAAGATTCCTATAATGACCCAAAGAGAGTAACAAAATCGTACATACCAGCTTGTAATGCACCAGTACGTATTGATGTTCACAAGGAACACAATCAAGTTGCTATAGAGGCTAAAACAAGTAAGAAACGTGGTAGACCCAAAAGGTTCCAAAGACAAGAACCCTCGGAAATCAAAGAAATGTGCAAGGGAAGCCGAGAAGGTTCAAGAAACCATAGACATGGCCGGCTAATAGACATAACCCTAAGGTACCAATCAATGAGGTTTGGGACGCCAAACCTCAAGGTCCTAAAAAGGTGTAAAGAGATCTCTATAATTAAACTATATCATGTCTAGAATACAATGGAACCGAAAAGATGTCGACATCAATGATAATATATTTGCGCACAAGGTAGCAACTGAAATGAATGAGGATCAGGAGCCCACGTCTATACTAGAGTGCACTCAAAGACCTGATTGCTTAAAATGGTACAAGACCATAAAACGTGGAGCTAAGAATCATTAAGAAGAAGAATGTGTTTGGTCCAATACAAAGGACACCATTCAATGTAAAGCCAGTGGGACAAATGAGTCTTTGTGATTATGTGAAATAAACATAGTGAAAGCGTAATATATCAAACACGGCTTGTCGCACAAGGATTCACACAAAGACCAGAAATAGAGGAGATATACTCCCCTGTGGTGGATGCTAAGACATTTAAATTTTTGCTAAGTCTGGCTATATAAAAGAGAAAGATTTGCGGCTATTGGATGTAATGCCTGCATATTTATATAAGTCCACTGGATAATATATGAGATTACCATAGGGTATTGAGCTCAAAGATAAGAAAGATTCTCGAGAACAGCACTGCATAAGGCTGGACAAATCCTTATATGGACTGAAACAAAGCGGACGTATGTGGTATAACCGGTTAAGCGAATATCTCATCAGAGAAGGCTATAAAAACGATCCGATCAGTCTATGTATTTTTATCAAGAAGTTTGCAAACAAAGGATTTGTAATCATAGCAGTGTATATGAATGATTTAAACCTCTGGGTAATCGACCAAACAGTTGAAAGACCTAGGCAATAATTAAGTTCTGTTTGGGATTACAACCTGAGTACGTGAATAATGGAATCCTTGTGCATCAAATGGCATACACTAAAAGAGTACTCAAAGAGATTTAATAAGGACCAGGCCCGCCCATTGACCAGGCCCAATGGTGGTGACTACATAGCGACTATTTGGCGACTATTTTACGACTACAAATATTTAGTCGTCTATTAGTCGCTTTTTTACGACCGAAGACAGTAGTCGGTAATTTAGTCGTAATTTAGCGACTATTTTATGACTACATTGCATACAAAAACTAATAGACGCAAAATAGTCGTTAATTTGGTGACTAATAAACACGTGTTAACCGTTTTGGTGTTGGTATACCGGTTTTATGCGACTACAAAGCGTAGTCGCCATTTGGTAGCTTTGTAGTCGCTATTTAGTCGCCATAAATATCTATACAATCAAAATTCACCCATTTCTCTAAACCTAAAACACAAAACTCTAAATCTCTAAACTCAAAAAACTATCTACTTACTATAATATATCCAAAAACTGAGGTCTAATACTTAAAAAAAATTATAGTTTTCAAAATCTTATTTGTTTTAATCAAATTTTAAACCTAAATCCCAAACCCTATACTTCAAACCCTAAACATTAAATTTTTAACTCTTGTAATGTATATATATAAAAATTAAATAGTAAACCATTCAACCAAAATATAACCATTATATATGTATAATAATAAAAAAATATGTAAAACTATTTATTATTTACATATAAATTAATCTTTCCAAAAACTATTTAGTTATAAATATATGATGTTAACTAATGGTTTTGAAATTTCTTTAAACAGAATTTGAACCCTAAAATAAACTCTAAACCTTAAATCTTTAAACTTTTAATCATATAAATTAAATCATAAACCACAAAATCAAAATAAAACCATTTTAAACTATATACAAATATTTTGTTTAAATTTATTCACTTTTTAAATTATAAATCACAATATACCTCTAAACGAATAATGTAACCGACAAAAAAAAACGGATGATGTAACTATTATATATATAATGTTTTGAATTTATAAATCTGAAAATTGTGAATTTGTTTTAAAGTGTTTGATTTAATTTTTTAAAAGTCCCATAATATGTTTATATTCAAAACTGAAATTAAACACTTAAAACAATCAAAATTTTCAGATTTAAAAATATAAATGATTTTAAATCTAAATCATATCTAATACTTTACAAATCTTAAACCCCTATATCTAAATTATAACATAAAAACTATAGTACAATAACAAAATTTATCAAAAAAAAAAGAAAAAAAAGAGAAAAGTCTCTCATTGGTTGATCCTAAATGACAAAGATTCCCTTTGGTTTATCATCAACCGTTGATAGAGTCAATCCAATGGACATAATCCTCTAATTATTTTTCCTTTCTTTTTTCCTCCTCTCCTCATCTTGTCTTTCCTTTCCACGCAAATCACTTCTTTTTTCTTTTCTGTTTTTCTTCTCTTCTCTCGTTGTCTCCTTCTTCTTTTCGTCAAGTTGAAGAAAAATTGCAAAGCCCAGAAGATTAATTGAAGAGTTCTAGAAGGTATGTTTCATGAATTCATCAGATCGCTAGATTTCCCAACACATCGTTATTCAAATATGGAGATAGATCTGGGGAAGTTTGATAATTAAATAGGTTTCATCGCAGATCTGTGTCAATGACGAGGCCGAACATCGACGGACGCACATGACTGCCACGGCGACACCACTACTTAGCCGAGAGACGCCGTTAAAGTACTAAGGAGACAGAAAAATAAATCCGGCGACGGAAGAGTTCTAAGGAGACGGTGGCGGAGCAAAAGGCTTGTACCGCGGGTGGAGTGCCGGTTCTAACCCTCCACCGGTTAGGTTGCAGCCGGCAACTGGACTCGTCGGCAAACGAAATCCGGCTGAAGACACAGGCGGCGGCTGAAGACTGAGGCGGCGGCTAAAGACTGTTATGTGTGATTAGGGTTTTTTTTTTTGTGTTTTTAGCATCCGGTTCAACCGGGGTTTTGTAATTGATTCAATTTGGTAACTCTTAACCATTCCCGGTTTGGGTTCTTTATTAATACAAATATATTTATTAATTAAAAAAAATCTTTTCACGAAATCTATAAATATAAATATATATATATATATATATATATGAATAAAAAAATTTATTTTTATTTTGTTTGATTTGTATAAATAAGATCACAGTCGTAAAATAGTCGTCAAATAGTCATTAAATTTGGCGACTACGCTACGACTACTTTTACGACTACGAATATTAGTCGTAAAATAGTCGCTAATTAGCGACTATTTTTACGACTATTTATTTTAGCGACTCTCGATTTACGACTACATGAATTAGTCGCTATTTAGTCGTAACCCACCATTTAGCGACTATTTAGCGACTTTTAGTGTAGTCGCTAAAATCCAGTTTTCTTGTAGTGTCTCTCAAGCTCCCACTCTTGATTTTTATTTTGGTCATCACATCTAGTAAGTTTTTTGTTTTTTTTTCGTTTGCCAACAATTGTAAGAATAATACCAAAAAAAAGGTGTAGGAAGTTGTTTTTGTTACAAGTGACAGAAACAAAAAGTAGCATCATAAATCATGTTTTTATAAACTTTTCCATTATATTATTAAAAGAACTAATACATAAAAATATAAGAAAATCATACTAACTGAATATCTATGATTGTCGTGAAAACATATTCATTCCGGAATTTTTAAGTAATAATTATATTATTTTTTTGCAATTTGATAAGTTTTAAGAGCGTAGTGATAATGCATTTCTAGGTTTTGATTCATTTTTGGTGGAAAATAACATTTATCAAGTAACAAAATTTTGGTTGGATCTTGATTTTTATTTATAGATCAATCCCTTGTTTTTCTTTTGAAATTTTATTAGTGGATGAAAATTCTAACCTTTAAAGCCATTTTGTTTATGCAAATGATGGATGAGAAGATCTTGGAGCAGAAGCAAGAAAGCTGACCGGAGTTGATGATATATTAATCGAAGGTGCCGCCGCAAGTCCACAGTACGTAGACACCGATGACGCATTGAACAAAGTCCCATCTTGCAAGAGGGACATCGACTGTAGTTTTCAGTGTCCCAAGGGAGGATTCTGCAACCAACGCCTAGGCAGATGTGAATGTTTGTAATAATAATCGTATTATAATCAACTTTTATCAATAAAAATTTACCAATTGTATTCACAGATAAAATCTTTTTAAAAAAATATAAAATCATTTTTACCAATTGTGTTCACAGATAAAATCTTTTAAAAATAGAAAATCATTTTTTTTCTTTTTCAAATTGATTTAGTCTTTGGATATATATACAATATAAACCGTTTACTATTCTATAGTTAACCCTAGTCAGATTTGATTTAACCTAGAAGCTTCTAGGTCTCCTACACGTTTACTTTATTATAGACGGTCGACTTCTTCCATCTTTATCCATTGAAACTAGTTCTCGCTCTTTATACGAATCCTTCCTCGCGAAAATGGCTAATCCTAAGGTTTTCTTTGATATGACCGTCGACGACAAACTGGCTGGTCGGATTGTGATGGAGCTCTTCGCCGACACGACACCAAGGACGGCCGAGAACTTCCGAGCCCTCTGTACCGGCGAGAAAGGCATCGGGAAGAGTGGTAAGCCACTGTACTACAAGGGATCACGCATTCACTTTGTGTCCCGCAAATTGATGTTATGTGGAGGAGACATCATTGTCGGGGACGGATCCGGAGGCGAATCGATCTATGGCGAATTATTCGAGGATGAGAACTATATAAAGAAGCACACCGGTCCGGGTGTCCTCTCTATGGCCAATGGTGGTCCAGACACCAACGATTCTAGGTTCATGATCTGTATGCAGAAGTGTTTTCCACTCGACGACGTGCACGTCGTGTTCGGCCAAGTTGTTGAAGGAATAGATGTGGTAGAGAGCATTATGGAAGATGTAGTAACTTATAACGGGAAGCCTTCCAAGACCGTGGTGATCGCCGACTGTGGTCAAATTTCATAGATTTGAGAGTTTCTTTATCCTATCACTACAATGGTAGCATGCTTGGTGTGTTTTTGTTCGTTGTTTGGATTTGAGTTTGCTAAAAAAAATAAAAAAACACACCTCCAAATCTTGACCAGTACCGGCAACGGACTGAACTTGATTTGCCAGTTGCCACATTATAAATGTATGGCTAAAGAGACTACGAATACATATCAAACTTTCACGACACTAAAATTTTTTATAAATCAAAAATCCAAAGCAAAGTTGAAAATGAAGAAAGCTTCTCTCAAGCTCCCACTCTTGATTTTCATTTTCGTCATCACATCTATTAAGTTTCTTTTCTTTAATTTGTCAACAGTTGTAGGAATTTGCTTTTATATAATAACTAGTATTCTTACCCCATACTACGTACGGGAAAATTAATTTATGAAGTTAAAGTAAAAAGATATGAATTATAGCAAAAGTGATAACTGGAAGTCATGCTAAATTTTTAGATAAATCCCTTGTATTTCCTTTGAACTTTTATTAGTGGATGAAATTTCTAATCTTTAAAGCCATTTTGTTTATGCAAATGTTGGATGAGAAGATCTTGGAGCAGAAGCAAGAAAGCTGACCGAGTTGATGATATATTAATTAATTGAAGGTGCCGCCGCAAGTCCACAGTACATAGCCACTGATGACACATTGAACAAAGCCCCATCTTGCAAGAGGGACATCGACTGTAGTTTTCAGTGTCCCAAGGGAGGATTCTGCAACCTACGCCTTGGCAAATGTGAATGTTTGTAATAATAATCGCATTATAATCAACTTTTTATCAATAAAAATTATCTATCAATTCTTCCAAACGTTATACTCTCTTATGTATTACAAGATTGATAATCATAATCGAAAACCAATTTAAAACTCTAAGCCACTAGCTTTGATTGTTGAACATTCTATAACCACTAAAGGAGGGAATCTTGAGGCCTGTTCTTCTTTGCCAGTGATAATCTTGACCTCAAAGAGACGGTTTCTTCTTCTTCTACTCCATAGTCATCATTGTCAAAATACAATACCATCAATCACCAACTTGTCGCATCTTTTTTTTTATTCATTTACGGTTCCATATCAGTTTGCAGAAGTACCTTATTTTTGCGTACTTCATTGAAATGTGACTCTCCAAGTTGTCTCAGTGGCTAAAACTCTAATGATCAAGTTAAAACTTTTTTGTATTACTTACAGATTTTGGCAAAAAAAACTTTCACTTACTCATTGGCCAAATATATCTCCAACTTTGCATTGACTTAGCCGAATTAGTTCCAACACTAACTAAACTTGAAAGGTTTAGTTCGGCCAAAATAGAAAAATTATTAGGGGCAAACGAATAAGTTTGAGATTTTTAAAATAACTAAATATTGTAATAAACCATATGGATGGACTCCATAACCGGCTCATGACCCATTAGGGTTTTACCTTATTCTGTGTATCCTGCTATTATCCTTGTATATATATCTCTTATTCTATTAATGAAATACACAGTTCACAACACGTTATCAGCACGATAGCCTCTCACCCTAAAAGCTAAAAATCCTGAAACCCTAAATCTCTCTCACAAAAACCAAAACCCTAAACATCTGAGAAAATCGGGATCTCCACTGAAATCTCTAACTAGTTATGTCTCCGTCCACGTGGCGTCTCCGATCTTCTATCTCAACAAAATCTAGATAAGTATTCATAATTTTATTCTCGGCAGTCACAGTTTTTATCATAACGTGGGGTGAATAATTCATATATGCTCACGCTTTAATATACCACTTCCGATGATGTTATTATGTTAACTATTGTTTATTTAATTACATATGATTATTCCTTTTCAATAAACGTTTGGTTCCAGATCTTTATTTTCTCTATACGACTATACATGTTAATAATTCTATGATTTGTTTCACCCCATGATCGATTCATGCTCAACTGTTTTATGGAATCATGCTTTAAATAATTGATATCTGTTGATTTAATTATTACGAAGACGAGATCTTGTTTGTTAGGAAATATAATCGTTCATGTCTTTAGTTATTCCATATGTTGATTTCAATTATGGCTTCCCGTGGAAGACATATGTTTGTTATTTTATTATTTGGCTAAGTTGATGATTAATGTAATAGCCATGTTTCCATGAGCAAAATTCTAAGTTTCTCAGGAATCATGATTATATATATTGAGATTTTGTAGGAGGTCCCAACCAGCTAAGAGACATAACTGTTTCCAATCTCCGTATCAGATCTCGGGTCTCTGTTTCAGTTCTCCAATTAAGATAAGTGCTATTTATTTATTATGCTTTATATACATGATCCAATTAAAGTTTGATAAGATAAAATTTGCATGAAAATTGGCACATGTGATTTGATTTATGATTGGAGAATTAATTGAGAAGTTAGTGAATGGAAAGATGTTTAATGGCATGATAGATTGAATGTTTTAATATAAACCCTAGGTTAAACCGAAAGTAAACCGAAACCCTAAATCCTAGGTTAAACCGGTTTAATAAACCCTAAGTCACGGTTTAAGATCAAGCTTCCCATAAATGGAAAGTTTCCAGAAATAAAAAGTTTCGTAAAATAGCAAGTTTCCCAAAATAAAAGGTTCCCTAAAATAGCAAGTTTCCCAAAATGGAAAGTTACCAAAATAGGAAACCCCTCCATAAGGAAATATTCCAAAACACTAAAGTACATAATTGTTTAGGATTTCTTTCTAGACGAGAAATAGAAATTTTCCATAAAAGGAAAGTTCCATATAAGGAAAGTTTCCATAAATAGAAAGTTCCATACATAAAACCAAAATCCTAGCAAAAACCCTAGTACTATAAATCGCGGATGCTAAAACCCTAAAACTTAACCGCAAAATCCTAATATCCTAATCTAGTATGATCCGATTGTTTGGTTGTTGCATACTAGATCAATCTTCTAGGGTTGATTTCATCCATATATATATATATATATATAACATGATTGTTTAGAAAACACTTGCTGAAGACAAGCATGGCTCGGTCTTAAATACCGCATGACTTGGTCTAACCGATTACATGAGTTCTCATTTAACTCTATATATTATAGATATCAGAAATCAACTATTATGAATACACGGCACTCAATGCCTCTGGTGACAATTATTTAAAATGGGCTTTGGACACTGAGATTGTCCTAAAGGAAAAAGGGCTTGGTGAATCTATTATGGAAGGAAACAATGTCACCAGAAGAGAAAGATATAAGGCGATTACTAACATACGCCATCACCTCAATGAGAGTCTCAAAATCAGTACCTCACTATTAACAATCCTCTGGACCTCAGGACAGAGTTGAAAAAAAAAAATCAATATAACCACCAAAGAACGGTGCTATTAACCAAAAGCCCGATTCGATCGGGAGAATCTCAGATTCCAGGAATTCAAATCCATGAATGAGTATAACTCAGCACTATTTAAAATAGTGTCAATACTGAGATTCCGTGGTGAGGAAGTTACTGAGAATGACTTGCTAGAGAAAGCATTCTCGACCTTTCACACAAACAATATATTGCCTCAGCAACAATATCGTGAAAAAAGTTTTTACCACATATGCAAGTCTAAACTCTTGTTTTTGGGGAGGACTCCTCTGTAGAGAGTGCTAAGGAGTGAGGCTTTGGAGAAACCGTGATGAGAACATTGATTCTGATATGCTACTTGCTGAGCAAAACAATGAGTTATAAATAGTGAAATGAGACCTCCTGGTCCTACCCCATTATCAGAAGCCCGTTGGGCTGAAGAGCCTAAAGAAACTAAAGAGTCTAACCACGTCCAAAGAGATAAGTATCATGGCCACAGTCATGGTAAATGGAATGAACGTGGTAGAAGTGGAAATTATAATTTATATGATCAAGGAAACTATTCATATGGTTAAGGCCACCGACCCGACTTTGGTCGTAATCGAGGTAGGCCACGGTATACCCAAACCACAACACTCAAATAAACTTGTTTGCCACTGATGAGGAATGGGGAAACCATTGGACTAAGACGTGCAGGACACCTAAGCATCTCGTTGATCTCTATCAAGAGAGTTTGAAAAGAATCAAGAAGCTCATTTAGTTCATCACGATGGTGAAGAAGATTTCGACCATGAGATAGATGATTATGAGAATTCAATAAACAAATACATGGTTCATTAGCCAAATTGCGGGTATAGCTAAATTTAGTGAAGGCTAACGGTAGGCCCATGGCAGGCCCATATTCCCAAGGGCACGCATCCTCAGATGCTTCATATTCACCCAGCTCAAAGGGGCTTGTTGAGTTTCAAAGAAATGTGTTTGAATAGTTTCCACATTGAAACTAAGGGTGAAGGGAACAAAGGATTCCCATATATTACTAAGAGCACCCAAGACCATAAGAAGGTCTTAGAGACTATACCCGCGTCATAGACCTTTACTATGCCAAGGTCAATATGATAGAGACTAATACAGTAAACAAAAGGGTTTACTGAGAAATTCACTAATGGCATGACCGGCTTGGCCAGCCTGGTTCTAACATGATGCGTAAAGCTGATATTAAAATCAAAAAGGCACACTCCTTAAGGACCTCACGTGTGTAGCATGTACACAAGGGAAACCCATACTAAGGTCATCACTAGTCAAAGCAACTAGAAACTTGGTGTTTGCTAGATTGCTGGCCCAGACCATAAGTCTGTGAGCCCACATACTTAAGACTATATGTCTAGATAATGCTGGTAAATTATGTCCCAAGTGTTTTATGGCTACAGTATGTCCATGAGGGGGAGAGTAGTATACCCCGTGGCACATGTCCATACTTGAACTCACAGTAGCTGCTTGGGGACACACAATATTACATGTAACAAGAGCTTATACGCATCAGGCCATTCTAGTGAGCATAGATATTCCCCATCCCAATTGCTAACGGGTCATGAGCCAGACGTTTCCCATCTTAAGACATTTGGGTGTTCAGTCTATGTACCCATTGCACCACCACAGAGAGCAAATGATGGGACCTCAAAAGGGGATGGGAATATACGTTAACAATGATTCTCCCACCATCATTAAGTATCTCGAGCCAAAGGCCAGATTCAAGGATTGTCATCTCAATGAATCCGTTTTCCCAACACTGGGTGGAGAGACTAACAAGCTGGTCAAAGAACTTACATGGAATCAAACATCCTTCACATGGCAAGATCCTCGGACTCCATCAGAGATCCAAAAGACTATATATCTGCAAAAGCTAGCTAAAACAGTTGCCAAGATTCCTATAATGACCCAAAGAGAGTAACAAAATCGTACATACCAGCTTGTAATGCACCAGTACGTATTGATGTTCACAAGGAACACAATCAAGTTTCTATAGAGGCTAAAACAAGTAAGAAACGTGGTAGACCCAAAAGGTTCCAAAGACAAGAACCCTCGGAAATCAAAGAAATGTGCAAGGGAAGCCGAGAAGGTTCAAGAAACCATAGACATGGCCGGCTAATAGACATAACCCTAAGGTACCAATCAATGAGGTTTGGGACGCCAAACCTCAAGGTCCTAAAAAGGTGTAAAGAGATCTCTATAATTAAACTATATCATGTCTAGAATACAATGGAACCGAAAAGATGTCGACATCAATGATAATATATTTGCGCACAAGGTAGCAACTGAAATGAATGAGGATCAGGAGCCCACGTCTATACTAGAGTGCACTCAAAGACCTGATTGCTTAAAATGGTACAAGACCATAAAACGTGGAGCTAAGAATCATTAAGAAGAAGAATGTGTTTGGTCCAATACAAAGGACACCATTCAATGTAAAGCCAGTGGGACAAATGAGTCTTTGTGATTATGTGAAATAAACATAGTGAAAGCGTAATATATCAAACACGGCTTGTCGCACAAGGATTCACACAAAGACCAAAAATAGAGGAGATATACTCCCCTGTGGTGGATGCTAAGACATTTAAATTTTTGCTAAGTCTGGCTATATAAAAGAGAAAGATTTGCGGCTATTGGATGTAATGCCTGCATATTTATATAAGTCCACTGGATAATATATGAGATTACCATAGGGTATTGAGCTCAAAGATAAGAAAGATTCTCGAGAACAGCACTGCATAAGGCTGGACAAATCCTTATATGGACTGAAACAAAGCGGACGTATGTGGTATAACCGGTTAAGCGAATATCTCATCAGAGAAGGCTATAAAAACGATCCGATCAGTCTATGTATTTTTATCAAGAAGTTTGCAAACAAAGGATTTGTAATCATAGCAGTGTATATGAATGATTTAAACCTCTGGGTAATCGACCAAACATTTGAAAGACCTAGGCAATAATTAAGTTCTGTTTGGGATTACAACCTGAGTACGTGAATAATGGAATCCTTGTGCATCAAATGGCATACACTAAAAGAGTACTCAAAGAGATTTAATAAGGATCAGGCCCGCCCATTGACCAGGCCCAATGGTGGTGACTACATAGCGACTATTTGGCGACTATTTTACGACTACAAATATTTAGTCGTCTATTAGTCGCTTTTTTACGACCGAAGACAGTAGTCGGTAATTTAGTCGTAATTTAGCGACTATTTTATGACTACATTGCATACAAAAACTAATAGACGCAAAATAGTCGTTAATTTGGTGACTAATAAACACGTGTTAACCGTTTTGGTGTTGGTATACCGGTTTTATGCGACTACAAAGCGTAGTCGCCATTTGGTAGCTTTGTAGTCGCTATTTAGTCGCCATAAATATCTATACAATCAAAATTCACCCATTTCTCTAAACCTAAAACACAAAACTCTAAATCTCTAAACTCAAAAAACTATCTACTTACTATAATATATCCAAAAACTGAGGTCTAATACTTAAAAAAAATTATAGTTTTCAAAATCTTATTTGTTTTAATCAAATTTTAAACCTAAATCTCAAACCCTATACTTCAAACCCTAAACATTAAATTTTTAACTCTTGTAATGTATATATATAAAAATTAAATAGTAAACCATTCAACCAAAATATAACCATTATATATGTATAATAATAAAAAAATATGTAAAACTATTTATTATTTACATATAAATTAATCTTTCCAAAAACTATTTAGTTATAAATATATGATGTTAACTAATGGTTTTGAAATTTCTTTAAACAGAATTTGAACCCTAAAATAAACTCTAAACCTTAAATCTTTAAACTTTTAATCATATAAATTAAATCATAAACCACAAAATCAAAATAAAACCATTTTAAACTATATACAAATATTTTGTTTAAATTTATTCACTTTTTAAATTATAAATCACAATATACCTCTAAACGAATAATGTAACCGACAAAAAAAAACGGATGATGTAACTATTATATATATAATGTTTTGAATTTATAAATCTGAAAATTGTGAATTTGTTTTAAAGTGTTTGATTTAATTTTTTAAAAGTCCCATAATATGTTTATATTCAAAACTGAAATTAAACACTTAAAACAATCAAAATTTTCAGATTTAAAAATATAAATGATTTTAAATCTAAATCATATCTAATACTTTACAAATCTTAAACCCCTATATCTAAATTATAACATAAAAACTATAGTACAATAACAAAATTTATCAAAAAAAAAAGAAAAAAAAGAGAAAAGTCTCTCATTGGTTGATCCTAAATGACAAAGATTCCCTTTGGTTTATCATCAACCGTTGATAGAGTCAATCCAATGGACATAATCCTCTAATTATTTTTCCTTTCTTTTTTCCTCCTCTCCTCATCTTGTCTTTCCTTTCCACGCAAATCACTTCTTTTTTCTTTTCTGTTTTTCTTCTCTTCTCTCGTTGTCTCCTTCTTCTTTTCGTCAAGTTGAAGAAAAATTGCAAAGCCCAGAAGATTAATTGATGAGTTCTAGAAGGTATGTTTCATGAATTCATCAGATCGCTAGATTTCCCAACACATCGTTATTCAAATATGGAGATAGATCTGGGGAAGTTTGATAATTAAATAGGTTTCATCGCAGATCTGTGTCAATGACGAGGCCGAACATCGACGGACGCACATGACTGCCACGGCGACACCACTACTTAGCCGAGAGACGCCGTTAAAGTACTAAGGAGACAGAAAAATAAATCCGGCGACGGAAGAGTTCTAAGGAGACGGTGGCGGAGCAAAAGGCTTGTACCGCGGGTGGAGTGCCGGTTCTAACCCTCCACCGGTTAGGTTGCAGCCGGCAACTGGACTCGTCGGCAAACGAAATCCGGCTGAAGACACAGGCGGCGGCTGAAGACTGAGGCGGCGGCTAAAGACTGTTATGTGTGATTAGGGTTTTTTTTTTGTGTTTTTAGCATCCGGTTCAACCGGGGTTTTGTAATTGATTCAATTTGGTAACTCTTAACCATTCCCGGTTTGGGTTCTTTATTAATACAAATATATTTATTAATTAAAAAAAATCTTTTCACGAAATCTATAAATATAAATATATATATATATATATGAATAAAAAAATTTATTTTTATTTTGTTTGATTTGTATAAATAAGATCACAGTCGTAAAATAGTCGTCAAATAGTCATTAAATTTGGCGACTACGCTACGACTACTTTTACGACTACGAATATTAGTCGTAAAATAGTCGCTAATTAGCGACTATTTTTACGACTATTTATTTTAGCGACTCTCGATTTACGACTACATGAATTAGTCGCTATTTAGTCGTAACCCACCATTTAGCGACTTTTAGTGTAGTCGCTAAAATCCAGTTTTCTTGTAGTGTCTCTCAAGCTCCCACTCTTGATTTTTATTTTGGTCATCACATCTAGTAAGTTTTTTTTTTTTTTTTCGTTTGCCAACAATTGTAAGAATAATACCAAAAAAAAAGGTGTAGGAAGTTGTTTTTGTTACAAGTGACAGAAACAAAAAGTAGCATCATAAATCATGTTTTTATAAACTTTTCCATTATATTATTAAAAGAACTAATACATAAAAATATAAGAAAATCATACTAACTGAATATCTATGATTGTCGTGAAAACATATTCATTCCGGAATTTTTAAGTAATAATTATATTATTTTTTTGCAATTTGATAAGTTTTAAGAGCGTAGTGATAATGCATTTCTAGGTTTTGATTCATTTTTGGTGGAAAATAACATTTATCAAGTAACAAAATTTTGGTTGGATCTTGATTTTTATTTATAGATCAATCCCTTGTTTTTCTTTTGAAATTTTATTAGTGGATGAAAATTCTAACCTTTAAAGCCATTTTGTTTATGCAAATGATGGATGAGAAGATCTTGGAGCAGAAGCAAGAAAGCTGACCGGAGTTGATGATATATTAATCGAAGGTGCCGCCGCAAGTCCACAGTACGTAGACACCGATGACGCATTGAACAAAGTCCCATCTTGCAAGAGGGACATCGACTGTAGTTTTCAGTGTCCCAAGGGAGGATTCTGCAACCAACGCCTAGGCAGATGTGAATGTTTGTAATAATAATCGTATTATAATCAACTTTTATCAATAAAAATTTACCAATTGTATTCACAGATAAAATCTTTTTAAAAAAATATAAAATCATTTTTACCAATTGTGTTCACAGATAAAATCTTTTAAAAATAGAAAATCATTTTTTTTCTTTTTCAAATTGATTTAGTCTTTGGATATATATACAATATAAACCGTTTACTATTCTATAGTTAACCCTAGTCAGATTTGATTTAACCTAGAAGCTTCTAGGTCTCCTACACGTTTACTTTATTATAGACGGTCGACTTCTTCCATCTTTATCCATTGAAACTAGTTCTCGCTCTTTATACGAATCCTTCCTCGCGAAAATGGCTAATCCTAAGGTTTTCTTTGATATGACCGTCGACGACAAACTGGCTGGTCGGATTGTGATGGAGCTCTTCGCCGACACGACACCAAGGACGGCCGAGAACTTCCGAGCCCTCTGTACCGGCGAGAAAGGCATCGGGAAGAGTGGTAAGCCACTGTACTACAAGGGATCACGCATTCACTTTGTGTCCCGCAAATTGATGTTATGTGGAGGAGACATCATTGTCGGGGACGGTCCGGGTGTCCTCTCTATGGCCAATGGTGGTCCAGACACCAACGATTCTAGGTTCATGATCTGTATGCAGAAGTGTTTTCCACTCGACGACGTGCACGTCGTGTTCGGCCAAGTTGTTGAAGGAATAGATGTGGTAGAGAGCATTATGGAAGATGTAGTAACTTATAACGGGAAGCCTTCCAAGACCGTGGTGATCGCCGACTGTGGTCAAATTTCATAGATTTGAGAGTTTTTTTATCCTATCACTACAATGGTAGCATGCTTGGTGTGTTTTTGTTCGTTGTTTGGATTTGAGTTTGCTAAAAAAAATAAAAAAACACACCTCCAAATCTTGACCAGTACCGGCAACGGACTGAACTTGATTTGCCAGTTGCCACATTATAAATGTATGGCTAAAGAGACTACGAATACATATCAAACTTTCACGACACTAAAATTTTTTATAAATCAAAAATCCAAAGCAAAGTTGAAAATGAAGAAAGCTTCTCTCAAGCTCCCACTCTTGATTTTCATTTTCGTCATCACATCTATTAAGTTTCTTTTCTTTAATTTGTCAACAGTTGTAGGAATTTGCTTTTATATAATAACTAGTATTCTTACCCCATACTACGTACGGGAAAATTAATTTATGAAGTTAAAGTAAAAAGATATGAATTATAGCAAAAGTGATAACTGGAAGTCATGCTAAATTTTTAGATAAATCCCTTGTATTTCCTTTGAACTTTTATTAGTGGATGAAATTTCTAATCTTTAAAGCCATTTTGTTTATGCAAATGTTGGATGAGAAGATCTTGGAGCAGAAGCAAGAAAGCTGACCGAGTTGATGATATATTAATTAATTGAAGGTGCCGCCGCAAGTCCACAGTACATAGCCACTGATGACACATTGAACAAAGCCCCATCTTGCAAGAGGGACATCGACTGTAGTTTTCAGTGTCCCAAGGGAGGATTCTGCAACCTACGCCTTGGCAAATGTGAATGTTTGTAATAATAATCGCATTATAATCAACTTTTTATCAATAAAAATTATCTATCAATTCTTCCAAACGTTATACTCTCTTATGTATTACAAGATTGATAATCATAATCGAAAACCAATTTAAAACTCTAAGCCACTAGCTTTGATTGTTGAACATTCTATAACCACTAAAGGAGGGAATCTTGAGGCCTGTTCTTCTTTGCCAGTGATAATCTTGACCTCAAAGAGACGGTTTCTTCTTCTTCTACTCCATAGTCATCATTGTCAAAATACAATACCATCAATCACCAACTTGTCGCATCTTTTTTTTTATTCATTTACGGTTCCATATCAGTTTGCAGAAGTACCTTATTTTTGCGTACTTCATTGAAATGTGACTCTCCAAGTTGTCTCAGTGGCTAAAATTCTAATGATCAAGTTAAAACTTTTTTGTATTACTTACAGATTTTGGCAAAAAAAACTTTCACTTACTCATTGGCCAAATATATCTCCAACTTTGCATTGACTTAGCCGAATTAGTTCCAACACTAACTAAACTTGAAAGGTTTAGTTCGGCCAAAATAGAAAAATTATTAGGGGCAAACGAATAAGTTTGAGATTTTTAAAATAACTAAATATTGTAATAAACCATTTGGATGGACTCCATAACCGGCTCATGACCCATTAGGGTTTTACCTTATTCTGTGTATCCTGCTATTATCCTTGTATATATATCTCTTATTCTATTAATGAAATACACAGTTCACAACACGTTATCAGCACGATAGCCTCTCACCCTAAAAGCTAAAAATCCTGAAACCCTAAATCTCTCTCACAAAAACCAAAACCCTAAACATCTGAGAAAATCGGGATCTCCACTGAAATCTCTAACTAGTTATGTCTCCGTCCACGTGGCGTCTCCGATCTTCTATCTCAACAAAATCTAGATAAGTATTCATAATTTTATTCTCGGCAGTCACAGTTTTTATCATAACGTGGGGTGAATAATTCATATATGCTCACGCTTTAATATACCACTTCCGATGATGTTATTATGTTAACTATTGTTTATTTAATTACATATGATTATTCCTTTTCAATAAACGTTTGGTTCCAGATCTTTATTTTCTCTATACGACTATACATGTTAATAATTCTATGATTTGTTTCACCCCATGATCGATTCATGCTCAACTGTTTTATGGAATCATGCTTTAAATAATTGATATCTGTTGATTTAATTATTACGAAGACGAGATCTTGTTTGTTAGGAAATATAATCGTTCATGTCTTTAGTTATTCCATATGTTGATTTCAATTATGGCTTCCCGTGGAAGACATATGTTTGTTATTTTATTATTTGGCTAAGTTGATGATTAATGTAATAGCCATGTTTCCATGAGCAAAATTCTAAGTTTCTCAGGAATCATGATTATATATATTGAGATTTTGTAGGAGGTCCCAACCAGCTAAGAGACATAACTGTTTCCAATCTCCGTATCAGATCTCGGGTCTCTGTTTCAGTTCTCCAATTAAGATAAGTGCTATTTATTTATTATGCTTTATATACATGATCCAATTAAAGTTTGATAAGATAAAATTTGCATGAAAATTGGCACATGTGATTTGATTTATGATTGGAGAATTAATTGAGAAGTTAGTGAATGGAAAGATGTTTAATGGCATGATAGATTGAATGTTTTAATATAAACCCTAGGTTAAACCGAAAGTAAACCGAAACCCTAAATCCTAGGTTAAACCGGTTTAATAAACCCTAAGTCACGGTTTAAGATCAAGCTTCCCATAAATGGAAAGTTTCCAGAAATAAAAAGTTTCGTAAAATAGCAAGTTTCCCAAAATAAAAGGTTCCCTAAAATAGCAAGTTTCCCAAAATGGAAAGTTACCAAAATAGGAAACCCCTCCATAAGGAAATATTCCAAAACACTAAAGTACATAATTGTTTAGGATTTCTTTCTAGACGAGAAATAGAAATTTTCCATAAAAGGAAAGTTCCATATAAGGAAAGTTTCCATAAATAGAAAGTTCCATACATAAAACCGAAATCCTAGCAAAAACCCTAGTACTATAAATCGCGGATGCTAAAACCCTAAAACTTAACCGCGAAATCCTAATATCCTAATCTAGTATGATCTGATTGTTTGGTTGTTGCATACTAGATCAATCTTCTAGGGTTGATTTCATCCATATATATATATATATATATATATAACATGATTGTTTAGAAAACACTTGCTGACTCGGTCTTAAATACCGCATGACTTGGTCTAACCGATTACATGAGTTCTCATTTAACTCTATATATTATAGATATCAGAAATCAACTATTATGAATACACGGCACTCAATGCCTCTGGTGACAATTATTTAAAATGGGCTTTGGACACTGAGATTGTCCTAAAGGAAAAAGGGCTTGGTGAATCTATTATGGAAGGAAACAATGTCACCAGAAGAGAAAGATATAAGGCGATTACTAACATACGCCATCACCTCAATGAGAGTCTCAAAATCAGTACCTCACTATTAACAATCCTCTGGACCTCAGGACAGAGTTGAAAAAAAAAAAATCAATATAACCACCAAAGAACGGTGCTATTAACCAAAAGCCCGATTCGATCGGGAGAATCTCAGATTCCAGGAATTCAAATCCATGAATGAGTATAACTCAGCACTATTTAAAATAGTGTCAATACTGAGATTCCGTGGTGAGGAAGTTACTGAGAATGACTTGCTAGAGAAAGCATTCTCGACCTTTCACACAAACAATATATTGCCTCAGCAACAATATCGTGAAAAAAGTTTTTACCACATATGCAAGTCTAAACTCTTGTTTTTGGGGAGGACTCCTCTGTAGAGAGTGCTAAGGAGTGAAGCTTTGGAGAAACCGTGATGAGAACATTGATTCTGATATGCTACTTGCTGAGCAAAACAATGAGTTATAAATAGTGAAATGAGACCTCCTGGTCCTACCCCATTATCAGAAGCCCGTTGGGCTGAAGAGCCTAAAGAAACTAAAGAGTCTAACCACGTCCAAAGAGATAAGTATCATGGCCACAGTCATGGTAAATGGAATGAACGTGGTAGAAGTGGAAATTATAATTTATATGATCAAGGAAACTATTCATATGGTTAAGGCCACCGACCCGACTTTGGTCGTAATCGAGGTAGGCCACAGTATACCCAAACCACAACACTCAAATAAACTTGTTTGCCACTGATGAGGAATGGGGAAACCATTGGACTAAGACGTGCAGGACACCTAAGCATCTCGTTGATCTCTATCAAGAGAGTTTGAAAAGAATCAAGAAGCTCATTTAGTTCATCACGATGGTGAAGAAGATTTCGACCATGAGATAGATGATTATGAGAATTCAATAAACAAAGACATGGTTCATTAGCCAAATTGCGGGTATAGCTAAATTTAGTGAAGGCTAACGGTAGGCCCATGGCAGGCCCATATTCCCAAGGGCACGCATCCTCAGATGCTTCATATTCACCCAGCTCAAAGGGGCTTGTTGAGTTTCAAAGAAATGTGTTTGAATAGTTTCCACATTGAAACTAAGGGTGAAGGGAACAAAGGATTCCCATATATTACTAAGAGCACCCAAGACCATAAGAAGGTCTTAGAGACTATACCCGCGTCATAGACCTTTACTATGCCAAGGTCAATATGATAGAGGCTAATACAGTAAACAAAAGGGTTTACTGAGAAATTCACTAATGGCATGACCGGCTTGGCCAGCCTGGTTCTAACATGATGCGTAAAGCTGATATTAAAATCAAAAAGGCACACTCCTTAAGGACCTCACGTGTGTAGCATGTACACAAGGGAAACCCATACTAAGGTCATCACTAGTCAAAGCAACTAGAAACTTGGTGTTTGCTAGATTGCTGGCCCAGACCATAAGTCTGTGAGCCCACATACTTAAGACTATATGTCTAGATAATGCTGGTAAATTATGTCCCAAGTGTTTTATGGCTACAGTAGTATACCCCGTGGCACATGTCCATACTTGAACTCACAGTAGCTGCTTGGGGACACACAATATTATATGTAACAAGAGCTTATACGCATCAGTCCATTCTAGTGAGCATAGATATTCCCCATCCCAATTGCTAACGGGTCATGAGCCAGACGTTTCCCATCTTAAGACATTTGGGTGTTCAGTCTATGTACCCATTGCACCACCACAGAGAGCAAATGATGGGACCTCAAAAGGGGATGGGAATATACGTTAACAATGATTCTCCCACCATCATTAAGTATCTCGAGCCAAAGGCCAGATTCAAGGATTGTCATCTCAATGAATCCGTTTTCCCAACACTGGGTGGAGAGACTAACAAGCTGGTCAAAGAACTTACATGGAATCAAACATCCTTCACATGGCAAGATCCTCGGACTCCATCAGAGATCCAAAAGACTATATATCTGCAAAAGCTAGCTAAAACAGTTGCCAAGATTCCTATAATGACCCAAAGAGAGTAACAAAATCGTACATACCAGCTTGTAATGCACCAGTACGTATTGATGTTCACAAGGAACACAATCAAGTTGCTATAGAGGCTAAAACAAGTAAGAAACGTGGTAGACCCAAAAGGTTCCAAAGACAAGAACCCTCGGAAATCAAAGAAAGGTGCAAGGGAAGCCGAGAAGGTTCAAGAAACCATAGACATGGCCGGCTAATAGACATAACCCTAAGGTACCAATCAATGAGGTTTGGGACGCCAAACCTCAAGGTCCTAAAAAGGTGTAAAGAGATCTCTATAATTAAACTATATCATGTCTAGAATACAATGGAACCGAAAAGATGTCGACATCAATGATAATATATTTGCGCACAAGGTAGCAACTGAAATAAATGAGGATCAGGAGCCCACGTCTATACTAGAGTGCACTCAAAGACCTGATTGCTTAAAATGGTACAAGACCATAAAACGTGGAGCTAAGAATCATTAAGAAGAAGAATGTGTTTGGTCCAATACAAAGGACACCATTCAATGTAAAGCCAGTGGGACAAATGAGTCTTTGTGATTATGTGAAATAAACATAGTGAAAGCGTAATATATCAAACACGGCTTGTCGCACAAGGATTCACACAAAGACCAGAAATAGAGGAGATATACTCCCCTGTGGTGGATGCTAAGACATTTAAATTTTTGCTAAGTCTGGCTATATAAAAGAGAAAGATTTGCGGCTATTGGATGTAATGCTTGCATATTTATATAAGTCCACTGGATAATATATGAGATTACCAGAGGGTATTGAGCTCAAAGATAAGAAAGATTCTCGAGAACAGCACTGCATAAGGCTGGACAAATCCTTATATGGACTGAAACAAAGCGGACGTATGTGGTATAACCGGTTAAGCGAATATCTCATCAGAGAAGGCTATAAAAACGATCCGATCAGTCTATGTATTTTTATCAAGAAGTTTGCAAACAAAGGATTTGTAATCATAGCAGTGTATATGAATGATTTAAACCTCTGGGTAATCGACCAAACAGTTGAAAGACCTAGGCAATAATTAAGTTCTGTTTGGGATTACAACCTGAGTACGTGAATAATGGAATCCTTGTGCATCAAATGGCATACACTAAAAGAGTACTCAAGGAGATTTAATAAGGACCAGGCCCGCCCATTGACCAGGCCCAATGGTGGTGAGAAGCCTCAGATTGGATAGTGATCCATTCAGTCCGGAAATGCCAAACCTCAGTGCCATAGGAGTTCTAATGAATTTGGCTAGACACACTAGATCAAACATTTGTTTTGCCGTGAGTCTCCTGTCTAAATTTAGTTCATGATCAACCCAAAGGCACTGGAAAGGTTTAAAGGAAGGTTTGATTAAGTTTTAAAGTCTATTCTTCCTGCATTGTTTACTTGGGTTTATTCTATATTGATCTAACCAAAGAAGGTCCAGTTTGCTTTGGTTTAGATTGATTTACTAATGCAGGATATTCATAAGATCAGATTATGGCATGGTCAATGAATAGGAACTACGTGTGGCTTGATCCCTTCCTAGGGTACGTAGGCAGCCTTCCTTAAGGCGCAGCTACTACTACATCAAAGACCATCATATTTGAAGACAACGCAGCCTGTATTGCTCAACTCAAGGATGGCTACACTAAGAGGGATCGAACGAAGCAGATTCTGCCCAAGTTCTTCTTCACTCATGAATTACAGAAGGACGGTCAGGTCAAAGTTCAACAGATCCGGTCAAGTGAGAATTCAGCCGACCTATTCACCAAATCATTGCCGACTTCAACGTTCCGGAAGCTCATTCATCAGATCGGAATGTGCGGACTTAAGGATCTACAGTGATGCTCAAATCAGGGGGAGTAATGCGTGTTGTACTCTTTTCCTTCACCATGGTTTTGTCCCACTGGGTTTTTCTGGTAAGGTTTTAATGAGGCAACATTCCCCAGCGCATTATAGAGATCCCGGTTTAGTATCGGGCACGGTTATGTCTTCCAAGGGGGAGTGTTATAAACCATATGGATGGACTCCATAACCGGCCCATGGCCCATTAGGGTTTTACCTTATTCTCTGTATCCTGCTATTATCCTTGTATATATATCCCTTATTCTATTAATGAAATACACAGTTCACAACAAATATTAGTTTTAGGTGTGGGAAAAAAAAACCTTACCTGGAAAAACCATACCGCAAACAAACCGAATTACATACGGTTTCTATATGATTTAATATGATTAATAATATTTAATATAATGAAATGATGATACAATTGGATTTGATATATCTTTTATTGAATATGATTGATTAAATATATATCTTTAAGTTTTTTGTAAATTAATAATTACTATCAATTAAGATTTTCTTCTGGTTTATTAATTAATTATGTCTACATTATGATTTCAATTGTAGACTTAATGAATTTATTAAAAAAAAAAAAAACAAATCCATACAAATCCAATGGCATATCATAGAAATTTTAATATTTTCATTGAAATTTATTTTAAACTGATCCCAAATTCTAATGGTAATAGATTTTCTACCCCTAACATTTGGTAGTAGATTAATTCTGCAAATCTTTGGCATGGACTTTCCAGCTATATATATGGATGAATATATGGCTAAATACTACGACGAAATAGCATTATAGCTAGCAACCTTTCACAAGACAAAATAAAATTATTTCAAAATTCGAAATATTTTTTGGAAAATGATGAACGTTTCTCTCAAACTGTCACTCTTGATTTTCATTTTGGTCATCACATCTAGTAAGTGTTTATATATTATATATATATATACATATGTAATCCATTTGCACCAAGAAAAAAAAAAGAAGCATATTTAATCCTTTCGACCAAAACAAAAGCATATCTCAATAAGTCAATAACATGAATCGATGTTACTTGTACTAAACCGAGAGAATATAAAATCATTAAAGCACCTAATACGATATAATTATAAGTATGAATCGATCAAGGCATGCATGAGAACTTATCTCAATCGGAAATTTTTGATTAGAGATCCGAGACGTTGTTGGAAAAAAGGGAACGGTGTCATCGTGTCAAAGAGATTGGTAGTCTCCGTTTTCTCAACGACTAGGGTTTCGTTGAAGGTGTTTATAGCTCAGGCGGGTAAGGTTTCGTCATAGATCTTAGCTTTAAACGAGAAGGGTTTCGTTTAATTTTTTTTTTTTTTTTTAGTTCAAACGGCTAGGGTTTTTGGTTTTTGTGAGAGAAATTTAGGGTTTCGGGATTTTTAGCTTTTAGGGTGAGAGGCTATCGTGTTGATAACGTGTTGTGAACTGTGTCTTTCATTAATAGAATAAGGGATATATATACAAGGATAATAGCAGGATACAGAGAATAAGGTAAAACCCTAATGGGCCATGGGCCGGTTATGGAGTCCATCCATATGGTTTATAACAATATTCAATTATTTTACAACACTTGCCTTGTTTTAGCTTTTGAATTATATTCTATCGTTTTAGAGGCACAAATATTACTAGAGAAACAAATTCAAACCCTTATGAGTTATGAATGAATAGATATTGGATCAGAAGCAAGAGAGCTAACCGGAGTTGATAAGAAACTCGAAGTTGCTACCGGAAGTTCAAATTACGGCGGCACTGCCAGGACCTTGGTGGCCCGACCTTGCAAAAGGGATGTTGATTGTAACCGTCAATGTCCCAGAATCCAAGGAGGAGAATGCAATCATCGCCATGGCACATGTGATTGTTTCTAATTGTATTAATCGCATTGTAATCTATTTTTATCAATAAAAATTTATCTATCAATTTTCAGATTTTATAATCTCATTTGCATTTCAAGGTTAATAATCATAAGTTATAATTATAAATAGCAACCTGATCCACATTGATATAAAAAAAAAAAAAAAACAACAAAAACAGTTTTCATCACTTTTCAAGGTCTACACTTGAGGACTCTTCTCTTTGGTAGTGATAATCTTGACCTCAAAGAGACTGTTTCTTCTTCTTCTTGTCCACTATCATCACTGTCTAGAACAACAATGGATTCAGGCATTGATGCTTCTTCCAAGCCCGAGTTCTCAAACTCACCGCGCCAACTTCTGTCATCTTCATTTTGATTCATTTCCAGTTTCATATCAGTTTGCGCAAGTACCTCGGTTTTGCTAACTTCATTCAACTCTCTAAGTGGTTGTCTCAAGGACAGTTTTCTGCTTAGTCTATTGTTGTCACTCTTTGCAGCAGAAGTTCGAAAACTCGAGAAGGCCAAGTTATCATTAAATGGCTGCTTCAGCCCCAGAGAAAGCTTCTTTCCATTTGAATTTGGTTTCTTGTTTTCTTTGCAAGCAGCCGAAACTACATTTGTGAGTTCTTCACCACACAAGTCCTTCTTTTGAGATTGAGGAGGCAAGGCAAGAGATAACTTCTTCCTGCTCGTTTTTATCACATCGTTACCAAATGAATTCGCCTCGCCAAAACCAATCACTGCTTTTCTTTTCCCATTTCTATCCTCTTGTTGATCTTTCGCTGCAGTGTCACGGTTCACTGTATGTGCTATGCTTAAGGAAGATTCAATCCCATCGTCATTACCAGCTAAAACACTAATTCCACTTTCACAAGCCTTCTCATCTCCATGAATCTAAAGAAACAAAATCAACATTTACTTAGAAGCTCACTGAAGACTCAAATGTTGCGTAAAAACTATATAACTAATTGTGAACCTTAATTTGGAAGCTGGTGCTGCTTCCATCAGGCTTAACCTTAGCATACTTCTCAGTCATCTCTCGTGCTTTATAATCGAAAGTTTGTCTATTGTATTTATACTCCCTGCTCTGTAAAAAAAACACCAGAACAAAAACTTAAAGAAACAAAAGCAAAATCACAAGAGAAAATAAGTGTGTTTCAAGTAGAGACTTACTACTTCACACATCAATCCATCATCCGGATTCGGTTCACTAAGCAACAATCCGATACTCGTCAAAACTGTCGAGATATTCAACGATGGTTGCCAAGCACCCTATCAGAAACTAAACATTGTTAACAAGATTCATGTATTCCATCACTAGTGTTGAATAGCTAACACATACAAACTCTAGAGATTTTGAGTTTCCACAAGAATCAATAAATCAACAAAGGCAATGAAGGAAGATGATGAAACAAAGTCTAACCTTGGGAGGGAGATTAAGAATATCAAGGCAAATCCGGCCACTGTTATCGATGTTTGGGTGATAAATCGGTGTAGAAAATGCCACAATTGGAGGCTGAAATGGATATCTGATAGAACTCACATCAACGATTGAGTCAATTTTCACATCAGATTCAAATCATCAAACACCAAAATCGAGTTTGATAGATTTACCTCTCAGGGATTTGAATCTTCACATTGAAGATTCCATTAGCATATACAGTATCTTCAGGACCTTCGATTTCTGGAAAAAAAGTTAATGGATCTGAATTTGATGAGGAAATTGAAAATTCAAAAGAGGATTTGAAGAGAAACTGACGAGCATCGATGGTGGAGAAAGTGGAGAAGTCGCCGGAGCCAGAGGCGGCGGAAGAGAGATGTGGAAACGAAGCGCCATGAGGTGGATCGGAGAGGAGAAGCTTTAGCTCTTTGTGCATTCTCATGCTTAGTCTCGCTGCTTGAGCCATTGATTCAGAAACTTCTTCGTCTTCACAGATTCTGAACAAATTTTGGGGGCAAAAGGGATTTTTGCAGTGATTGGCACTGGCGGGGAAGATATTTTGGATCTAAAAGGTTTTGACTTATGGGCCCAAAAACAATTGGGCCAAGCCTGTGTATACATGTGAAAGTTTCTTAAGAAACATTTGTTGATGGTGATAACCATGTATTTGTGAAATCAAAAAAGTTATAACTGAAAAAACTATATAATAAAATAAAATGTTTATATAATAATAATAAAAGTCTGAATAAATGTCTTCTACTGTTGTGCTTTTTAACATAGTTTTATTTTTACTTTTTATTACTAAAATATATATATTTAAATAAAATTATTGCAACCGTTTATTAGAAATAGAACTATTACAACATTTTATTTATTTGATGAACGATTGTAATTTTTATTATTTTATTTTATGAACAATTGTAACATTTAATTACATACTGTCATGTTTCTCGACATAATTCTTCATAAAAAAAAATCTAATTTTTAAATCTATTATCTTAGAGATTGTCTTGACAATGGTAATTTTACTCATTTCTTTTTTCTATCTTTTGATTTTTTTTTTTTAAATCTCATGATTTAAATACTAATTTAAGGACCAAAATTTTTTGGAAAGAACCATACCATGTTTTCGTAATCTAATTATTTTACTTTATATAAAAGATTTTTATCTAGTGGACGGATCTTCAAAAATAGTTTTCTCCCCACATATTACATATCATTATATCAAATTTATCGTAAATACCCTATCACCATTTAAATTTAATTATGAGAAAAATAAATTTTTGAAAATATGAAACTTATAAATTGTATTTAATTCTCAACAATCAAGAAATAACCAACTTAGAGAATAAATTTATAAATCAATAAATCTTGCTTCTCTATAGGGTGCGCTTTTGTCCATGTGACGTACGAAATGACGAATAATCGTCTACTAAACTATTTTATCCGTACGACATCATTTTCTATAATATTAGTTTGAAACTATACTCTAAAAGTCTAAAATCATGTTCGTATACCTGAATTAAGCAACGTATGAATAAATTATCCAAAAAATACAAAAACACTCGAGTAGTGGAGTACGAATCGCCAGCAAAAAAGATTCTACGCAACGTGTCGAGTCACTACTTGTTCCTTCGCACTAACCAGTTCGGACCATGTCAGTATCCAACGCACCCACACGCTCGTCGTCTCTTGTAATTATCTCACACAATGGCTTGGGACCAATAACTTGCCACCAAGAAAAGCAATTGACCTAAGGCTTTGTGGTACCTGCATGGTTAAAAGCAAAACATGAACTTGCCACGTTATTACAAAAGCAAACCACGTCACCTGTCTCATTGTTACACACTATATCTCTTGCTCTCCTTCATTTCGTTATGGACAACAAAAATTATGAAGTGGGGAAGAGTTGTCTCCAAATACTTTTTTATTGTCCTCTCAATTTATATTAATTGATAATAATCGAAATAAATAAATAAACTGTAGGTTGACAAAGCGTTAATTTAATAAAAATAGATATTAGTTGACAGTCTAGAATTTTTCAAAACTAATTATTATAAACTTGTCGTAATAGAGAGGTAATTAAACTTATCAATCAATCTTGATTAATAATTTCAAGTATCCCACTAAATCAAAATTGTCCTTAGGTCTTGAAATTGTACTACTAGCAGTAACAGAGCCGTAGCAACAATTATGAAGGCCGCCCGCGAAAAAAAAAAAAAAAAAGGCCGCTTTAGAAAAGTGTATACTTATAAAAAAATTTAACCATAAAAAAAAACCTTCTCTCACGCTTCAGGTGATTCGAACTCATGACCTAAGATATGTGGTGTATGACATAATACCACTAGGCTACCAAAACACATTGGTATTTGAGGGCCGAAAATATTAATAACTTCTCGGAGGGCCGCAGCTCCCGCTTCTCTTGCTTCTATCCAGTTACGGCTCTGAGTAGTAATCAAACAAACAAAAACTATAGCTTGTGGATTCGCTAATCCCATTTGGCGATCAGAGTAATACTTATTGTTGAAATCAAATGTTGTAATTAAGATTCGATTAAAAGGGAAAGTTATACTTAAAAAGAAAGGAGACTACAATTAAAAAATGAAAAGTAGAAAAACTGTCTCTCGCCTATACGAGGAGGTCATTTTCTCCAAGGCTCTCGAGGATTAAGGACCATGCTTTGATTCTATACATTTTTGTTTTATTCCAACTATAAATATTAGTATAACATACGTAATATGTGGTTACATTTGACCCACGTCCCTTGAATTAAGTCTAGATTAATTTATCCAATATGTAATTAGGAAAGTTTTATATAAGATTGCTGCTATTGGATTTCTCGGTGGTGGCTTAAACAATAAAATACTAGTGCCTTTGATGCGTGTGAATTTTTATTGGTTGTAACTAGTTTTGATTCTTAACCAAGCAATTTATATCGTAGTAGTTTATGTTTACAATATTTAATAGGAAATGCTCCTATGATTAGATAACTTTTGCTACTTTTGATTGGAACTGTAAAGGTTTTGATGCTTAACCAAGCAATTTTTTTTTTCTTACCAAGCAATTATATTGAAGTACGTAGTTTATGTTTATGATGTTTAATAATACTCCTCTAGTTAGATATCTCTTGCAAGTAGCATCACTTGTGTGGCTATTTATTCCAGAGTCCATGGATATGTATAAGAAAATAGTGGTGAACGTTTTCAGATTGAAAAGTTGTCTTGAACATCATGTTTTTTTTTTAACTGTGGTCTGTGTACATGTTTACTTGGCATTTAGTGCCCAAAAAAGTGTTATTGTTATAAATAGTATCATTAGGAAAAATACAATGGCCTGTCATTAGATTTTCTTAATGATATGCGACAAAGAAAAATGGATTGTCTTAATGATATATCTCAGTATAAATTTGGGGTTATATGTGTTACATATATTGAGTATTCTTGTATGTGTGATATGTTCTATTATCTTTGAATCAGTACTTTTTCATTTAGTCGGATAGTTTTAAGTTAAAATCTGAATATTTTCCGTCAAAAGTTTTTAACATAATTATAAACTAAAATAAATGACACCCTCTCTATTTCCTTTTGTAAGATTATTGTAGACAATTTGACGTTGGTTTTACCTAAATGTCTTTTTTTCTAAATTGTTCTCACTCTTGAGAGTTTTGGAGTATTTTTAAGAGGAAGAGGTTTGTTTTGTGAAAAAAGTGAAAAGAAAAAAATCATGTCACGAATTAGAAATAATTTTGTTTGTGCAAGATACAACAATTACTGCAAGGAATTACAATTGAATCATATATATCCTTCTAATCCGGTATCGGAAAACCAGTTGAAAAATCGATGGACTAAGCTTTCTATATTGGGAGTACCTAACCCTTAGAATTAGTCAAGCAGCTTAAATCATCTATATGACTAAAAATTACAATAAGAAAAAACACAGCCTAATAATAATATGCAATGGATCAAATAACTTGTCACATAAGAAATATATTAACAAAACAAAAAGGGCAAAAAAGACCTGAAAGCTTTGAGACACACCTGCATAGGTCCCACAGTTCACTCGTGACACCGTGAAAGCAAAAACACGAACCCGCCACGTTACACAAAAAGCAAGCCACGTCAATATAGTCTCACTGTCAACTACACTTAACTTACTATTTTCACATTTTATTTCCCTATTTTATTTTGTTTATATAAACCTACCAGCCTCCTCCTTAATTTCTTTACCAATAATATAAACCGTAACAAAAAAAAGAGAGAGAAATGGAGGACGACAATGGTAACAACACCAACAACAACAACAACAACAACGTGATCGCACCTTTCATTGTGAAAACATATCAGATGGTTAATGATCCTTTGACCGATTGGCTCATCACTTGGGGACCTGCTCACAACAGTTTCATAGTCGTTGATCCACTCGACTTCTCGCAACGAATCTTACCTGCTTATTTCAAACACAACAATTTCAGCAGCTTTGTTCGTCAACTCAACACTTATGTAAGTTAATTCATACGTTCTGGGCCTAAACTCGTACATCTTTCGAAAACTCGAAATAGGGGATTACGATTTTCTAATTTTTCTTTATCTTTTATTTTTTATTTTAGGGGTTTAGGAAAGTGGATCCGGACCGGTGGGAGTTTGCGAACGAACATTTTCTGAGGGGACAGAAGCACTTGTTGAAGAACATAGCGCGTAGGAAACACGCGCGGGGGATGTACGGTCAAGATTTGGAGGATGGTGAGATTGTGAGAGAGATCGAACGGTTAAAAGATGAGCAAAGGGAGCTAGAGGCTGAGATTCAGAGGATGAACCAAAGAATCGAAGCGACGGAGAAGAGACCGGAGCAAATGATGGCGTTTCTTTACAAAGTCGTTGAAGATCCTGATCTTCTTCCAAGAATGATGCTTGAGAAAGAACGGACAAAGCAACAAGTTTCCGACAAGAAGAAGCGTCGTGTCACGATGTCGACAGTGAAAGCAGAGGAAGAAGAAGTCGAAGAAGACGAAGGGAGGGTCTTTAGGGTTATTTCATCATCAACACCGTCACCGTCGTCAACGGAGAATCTTCACCGGAATCATTCACCGGATGGGTGGGTTGTTCCCATGACGCAAGGACAGTTTGGTAATTATGAGACTGGTTTGGTGGCTAACTCGATGCTCTCGAATTCAACGTCGTCTACGTCATCATCGTTGACCTCCACGTTTTCGTTGCCGGAGAGTATTAACGGAGGAGGAGGAGGAGGAGGAGGAGGAGGATGTGGGAATATTCAGGGAGAAAGAAGGTATAAAGAAACGGCGACGTTTGGAGGAGTGGTAGAGTCAAATCCACCAACAACACCGCCTTATCCGTTTTCTCTGTTTCGAGGTGGCTTTTAGCGTTTAGCTTCACATGATATATGATCTTTATTATGGTTCTATTATTATTATTATTTATTATTTGTTTTTTGTTCTTAATTATTTTATGTATAACCAAAAGAAAGAAAAAAAATAAGGACAGATCGATAGTTGTTTAGGTAAGTGACAGAAGAGTCAGTAGTCATCGTTTATAGAAAGTTTTGACAGTATATAATTTCTGATTATATTTGTTAGAAAGTTCATATGTTGACTTTGTTATTTGTTTTTAAAAGTATTTTCCAGGTGATTTGTGTAATATATCCATACTTTGTAATAACAACAATTTTCATCTTCTTCACTACTTGAGTGTTTTGATTTTTGAATAAAGTATAATAGCCATCTATGTTTTGTAATATAACAACCAAAAATAGGTTTTAGAATAAGTCTCGCATTGAGAGAGAGAAAAATTTGTGAAACAATATATATATTGCCAATTGGTTTTGAGTTGGAAACCAATGTTTATTAATATGGTATGTCAAAAAATTTCATCAAAACCTATATATTTCACACAATGGAAGAGATAATTTGAAATGGTATATAGACTATAGACTATATATGTTATTATAAAGCTGATCATCATAAAGTAGAAACATTGCCTATGTACTTGCCGTGGTTAAGGCGACACAAGTCGGGTGATAACAAGTCAACGAGATCACCCACTCAGATGCAAACGTATCATCAACACGACGCTCCACTTTCACGTTCATCTAAAAATGATATATCATGACATTGTTAAAATTTGAGACGTGACAGTTAGCCACTGGGACTTTGGTCGGCCAAAAACGTTTCGAACACTCATTGGGTTAAAGTGAGAGAGTATAAAAAAACGATAGATCTAATTGGACCACCTGATGTCTCACACAAGGACGCGTGTTGATACCAGATAATGGCAAAATCTCTTGTAAGATGTTCGGGTCCATGCTTTGTTTGTCGGCTCTACGTTACGCACACATCATAGCTATCGCAATTTTTTTTTGTAGTTTATGATTAATTTAATCATTTCGATGATACTTATTTACTTGTAAAGATTGGTAATTTTATCAAGTTTTAGGATCTTTTACTCATTTTAACAAATTAATTATCTAATTGTTGTGCACAAAAAAAAAAGTATCTAATTGTTAATCTTTTTGTAATTAAAAGGCTTGTTTACTTAGTAGTCTTCTTTATTTGTTGATGTAGTTATGAATTATTTTTCATATTAATTTGTGGATAATATTCTATATTTTTCTTTAGAATTTCTCCATCTAAATAGGAGAACAAAGTTGAATAATTTTCATCTGAATGCGATATTGAAAGGTCTAGTATCCATTAAAAACTACGTCGGCCTAAAATTTTTAATTTAAATACTTTCAATTAGCTAACAAAACATACTATTGGTTGTGGATTATTTAGTAATAAGAGTATAGTTTTCCTTGTCCAAATCAATTGCGTAAGACTCGACATAAATAGAAATATATACTTAAAAAAGGAAAAGAGAGAATAGTTGAAAGTTGGCAAAGGGCAAACCATCTCTCGCCAATTGGAGGAAGTCATTGTCTCTTAGGATCTAGCGAATCAAGGACCATTCTTTGATGCTATAAATTGTTGTTTTATGAATTAATTACGGATTTTGCCCTTTTTTTATAATGACATTTATGGATTTTGTCATTTTTTGAATAATTTATGGATTTTGCCTTTTTTTAGGCTCCAAAAATATGATTTAACATGCGTTTCATTCGTTATGTTTGGGTTTAGTCGGTTCCAGTTGTTCTTAGGGTTTAGTATTTGGTATAATGTACGTATTTCTGCAAAAAAAAAATCATAAATACGTACATTTTTAAGTGTTAAAAAAGGCAAAATCCATAAATTATTCAAAAAAAGGCAAAATCCATAAATGCCATTATAAAAAAAGGCAAAATCCGTAATAATCCCTTGTTTTATTAGTAAAGCCATGTAATTTTTGGATTTTTATAATGCACCTAACATGTGGTTAGCATTTGACCCACGTCCGCCAGGGGCGGAGGGAGAGAACAATGATAGGGGTCAAATGACCCAGTGGAATTTTGAAAAATATTGAGTTTTTATTAAAAAAAATTATAATGACCTCAGTCCAACAAATAAATTGACCCCTATAAATATTTTAGTTCACGTACAAGCAAAGGGAGCTTAGTAATTATATTGAATTATATACATATACAAGCCTAACAATTGTATTAAGCTATATATAATATAAGGCCCAACTAAAATCTATCAAAATTAACATAAATATAGAAGCCCAAATTGCCCAATAATTGTAAGCTAACCTAGCCTAGAAGTTAGTTCTTTTAGTGAGCAAAATAACACCGGGATGCTTAAAATGGAGGAAGAATTTGATTCAAGAAGACCAAGAAAAAAGACCGGTATAACCAACTTGCATCACTATAAGGTGGAATGTTTCTACACTGTCTTAGATATGCAACTTCAAGAGTTTAATGACCGCTTTGATGAGGTGAATTCTGAACTACTTGTTTGCATGTCATCCTTGAGTCCGATAGATTCCTTTCGTCAGTTTGATAAGTCAATGCTCTTGAGATTGACTGAGTTTTATCCAGATGACTTTACTTTTGTGGAGCGTAAATCTCTTGATCATCAACTTGAGATCTACCTTGATAATGTGAAAAACGATGAAAGGTTTACAGATTTAAAGGGTCTTGGTGATCTTGCTCGTATGATGGTAGAGACAAGAAAACATCTTTCACATCCTTTGGTATATCGTCTTCTAAAGCTATCTTTGATTCTTCATGTTGCGACGGCAACCGTCGAAAGATGTTTCTCCGCGATGAATTTTGTGAAGACAACATTGCGTAACCGTATCGGTGATGTGTTCTTAAGTGATTGTCTTGTTTGTTTTATTGAAAAACAAGTACTTGACACTATTACAAACGAATCGGTGATAAAACGATTCCAAGATATGAGTGAGCGTAGAGTTCATCTTTAGGATCTATATTTGTGATGACATTGTCAGTGTTATGGTTTTAGTAAAGTTTAAACTTTTGTTTCGTTAAAAAATTTTTGACCCCAGTGAGTCGTTGTCCTGGCTCCGCCACTGACGTCCGCTTAATTTAAAATCAACATAACTTATGCATTACTTAATTGGTAAATTTTTGCATTAGGATATGGGGTTTCTTGGTGATGGCTTAAACAATAAATTAGTGTATCTTAATGTTGATGTGTGTTAGATTTTGATTGGATTAGAGGTTTCAATTCTTAACCAAGCAACCTTTGTCCCTTAAAAGTGCTTTCTTTTATGAATTTTTTTTTTTATTTTTTTATTTTTTTTTTACTTCTCTAATAACCAAATACTTCTTGGCTTCTTGCGACACTTAGTGCCAAATTCATTTGTTTCTATTAACGTCTTATCCAATCAATTTCAAATGAAAGGGAAAAAGACAGAAAGATAGGTTAAATCATTTGTTTCCAATATATATCTTAAAGTTATTTCCATATTAAAACAAAATTTCCAAAATTATTGTCTAAAGAGTTACTTAAGTTTTCAAAGATTAGGTTCTGGAAACAGTTTCAATGAGCCTAGGTGATCAAAGTTCGTATAAGTCCTATGTGCTTTACTTTGTTACTTTTCTCATACTTTTTTTTTTTAAGAAAAAGTTTCTGTAATTTTTGTGGTTTGTGTTTATCTATTTTTCTGTTTTTCCAAACTCTCACATGTGTTATCATTAAGTCTTTCAAATCCAAAATATTAATTCTAGTGACCATCTATAAGTGGTATTCGAGCTTAGATTCGAAGATAATCGTGTTTTCTGCAAGAATAGAGATTTAGACGGATCTACGAAAGGAAGCAATCCTTTGCTCACCAAAAGATTTTTCAGGATGATGAAAGTGAGAAGAAGTTGGTTAAGGAAAATATGTTAATCAATAAGAGAGAGTTAGAACCATAGTGGAGATTTGAAGGATTTTGGTTTGATCTCTCTTGGTTTAGGATTAGTTAATCAATTATGATAACACTAAACATAAATTAACATCAAAAAGCATTGCTTATTGTTTTGTTTACTTACGAACCCTATGCAGGATTAATCAAATGGAAATGTTATATGAGGGGACGATCTTATCCAAAATGGCATCGATGATATATATCAGTAACGATACGCAAACATCGATAAGATATGGCGTAAGTTCTCACCCTATTGAGAGCGCATAAAACCTTCATATATCTCTATGTTCACCGGTTTTACTAGTTTAGGATTGTATGGATTTTGGATCTTGGATCACTTTCAAACTCTTTCTAATAATAGATATGGAGACAATCGCGGCAAGATGTAGGCTTAATCACACCGATCAAAGCTGGACTTGCATATAAGTGCAGAAGGTTTGAGATCAAAATGAACTCGTATAAGTGATGAAGGTTTGAGTATGCAATATGATGAACCAAATCTTGTATTTGAATATCTAATGTGTAGTTTACAAAAAAAAAAAAAAAAAAAAAAAAGAATATCTAATGTGTAGAAAGAAGGTTAAGCCAATTTGGTTCAAACCAAACACAACATTTTGTAATCGTTGGCATCATAAATAAAGAAATAGATAAACATTTCACAAGAAATATATAAGAAAAGATAAAATATCAATATAGTTTTATACAACAGAAATAGATTTGATCAAACAATGGAAGTTGAAACCAAAGCCTCTCCTCCTACAAGATCTTGAGGGGGACAAAAGCATAAAGAATATGATGTAAGAATTGAATCAATACAATTGTGTAATACTAACCAATTATTAGCCATCAGATGTTTGAACCTGGAAGCTTTTCACTGCGAGAAAACTCGAAGCCCAGCCTCTAGATCTTCCAACTTGATTGTACAAATCTCTTCAGTGTCAACACATTCAAAGCTAAGTCGGAGATCAAGATTCTCCCTCGCGTTAACAAGTAACGTGTCCACCAATCCTCCGTTCATCTCCTTTCTCTGCTTCTCGGTTGTTTCTGCCTCTATCAATGACGCTATCTCCTGCAGAGTGCAGGACTCATGCAATCTGAAACCGTAGAACAGAGTGTCCTCTCCTTGGTTGTTCATCTTGATGTGTAGTATCTGCGCCAGTTCCTTAGCACTGAAGTCGCTGAAATTGAAAAACTTTGTGACCCTTCTGCAAAACCCTTCGTTTGATGCAATCACACGCTTCATGGGCTCACTGTATCCCGCAAATATCACCACGATTTTCCCTGTGTCCATGACCGACATGATTTCTTCCAGAGCTTCTAGACCGTAGTCCTTGTCGTCCGCCTTTTGCATCGGGATCAATCTGTATGCTTCATCCACAAACAGAATTCCT